AGGGACAGGATCATACATCATGCTTTTGAGGTATAACTCTACACTTGTGTTGTTCCATAATAATTGTGTTATGCCACCCTTCTGCAGAATGCCAACATTGTGCAACCAATGATGTATCTGCCCCGGTGCCCAGTAGGGGACGCTGGAGGACCAACGCAGAGGCCATCCAACATTGGCTGGAATCCTACCTAGAGTAGGTCATTGATTCCCCAACTTTGGTGCTCCAGGTGATCTACAGGGATATGGTGAGTGGGAGAGGAACATGGGAAAGCAAAAGGGATTTGAACCCTGGCCACCAAAATCGGAGTCCAACACTCAAACCACTACACCACACTCCCCTTATTGACCCACAAGTACACCACAGTCCAAGGTCTGTACTGAAGCTCTCTGAGCATAGTCCAAGGAGTCTTATTTATACATGCAAACCACCTTGGTCTACTTATGGTTTTATTCTCCTGCCCTAATTAGGGTTAAATTTAAATTTTGGAAAAAACGCTCAATAAAAAAGCAAGGGCCTCTTCTTTCTTCTCCCACTGAACCTTGCCCCGCTGACAACACCTCTTCAGCATTTGAAAGGGATGCAGGTGAACCCCACAGCCCCTTTCTTTCCAATGGCAGATGTTTGGGAGCAGTGGGGTCAACCATCCCTTACACTTACAGGGTCACCTAGTGCAATCCATCCCTCTTGCACCCTCCTAAGGATGCCCCTTTTCTTCTCCTCAAGATCTGGCTCAATCTCCCTAGCATCAGTCTGGAAGAAAGGCCAGTTCTCTATACCCACCTAGCCGCTAGATGTCACCCACACCAGTTTTCAAGGTGGGCTTTCCAAAATCCCAGCAGATGATGTTCATTCCCAAGTCCTCGCTCTCCATCTTTTCTACACAGAAAGCACAGCTTGCAAATGTTGCCATGTGTATTACATGAAGAATGAAGCTGGGGTCAAGGGGAGATTCTTGGGTAGTAGAAAGCCCTTTGCAAGTGTGAGTTCACAGAATCATAAAATCATAGAGTTGGAAGAGCCCAACCCCTTTCTGCCATGCAGGAATACACAATCCAAGCACTCCTGACAGATGGCCATCTATCCAGCCTCTGTTTAAAAATCTCCAAAGAAGGAGATCCCACCATCCTCCAAAGCAACAGCATCTTCCATTGTTGAACAGTTCTTACTGTCGGGAAGTTCTTCCTCATGTTGAAGTGGAATCATTTTTCCATTGTTCCTTGTCTTATTCTCTGGAGCATCAGAAAACAAGCTTGCTCCATTCTCAAGATGAGACCCCATTGAAGTATTTAAACAGGGCTATCATCTCACCCCTTTCTCCCCTTGCTCTCCAAAGACACTGGGCAAAGCATCAGTGCAGTGACCCAGACCCAGCCTAGTAGTCCTCCAGGAAAGGTTCCCAACCTGTCTTTTGTAGAAAAGCAATAGGGAGGCCATTCTGACTTGTAACCAGTGGACTCTTCTTTAACTGGAAAAGAAAACAGGATGGAGAAAAAGGCACAACTGCACTTCAGAAATAATGCAGTCTGACATTGCTTCTACCGCCATGGCTCAATGCAGTGGGATTCTGGGATGCGTAGTTTTGTGTGCGATTTAGCCTTCTCTGCCAGTGATTTCTGGTGCCACAACAAATAACAAAGGCCAGGATTCCCTAGGATGGTGCCAGGACAGTTAAAGCTGTGTCAAATTGCATTTATTCTGCAATGTAGATGCAGCCTCAGGTCATTTTCAAGTTCCCATAGCAGTGCAAATCTGCTTCTGGGGCCATTGTGCAATGCATATATTCAGTTCATAACCACATAAGCAGAGTTCCACAAGTTCACAAATAAATGGGCTTGAGAAGAAATAAAATCTGAACTCTCCCTGGAAGGCAAAAGGCCTAAAATGAGGCTATCATACTCCCATGATACAATATATTGGAAAAGATGATAATGATGTGAAAAATAGAAGGCAGCAGCAGAAGAAAAAGATCCTATTATAGGTGGGTAGATTCCACCTATCCACCATTGTAAGAGCCAGTATGGCATATAAATTGGATGGTTGGATTAGGACTCTGGAGACCAGGGTTCAAATCCATGCTTGGCCATGGAAACCTGCCAGGTGACCTTGCATAAGTCACACTCTCTTAGCCTAAGAGGAGGCTGAAAGGAGACAAAGGCAAACTCCCTCTGAACAAATCTTGCCAAGAAAACCCCAGGATAGGTTTCATTTAGGGTGGCCATATGTCAGAAATGACTTGAAGGCACACAACAACTAAGAGTCCATCAGTGGAGCCACACCTTGAGTTTGCAAGACTTCAACAGGGCTACTGATGACCAGACCTCTTGGCAGTCTCTCATGCAGAGGATCCAAAGCAGTTTCATGGCAAACAGATGCAAAACCATTTCACATGGACTTAAACCCTAGTTGGTAGTCCCGACTAGAGTAGAGCCATTGAGTCCATGCAATTTACACATGTCTTGAATCATCATTCCACAATGGATTCAATGAGTCTACTCCATTTGGGAGTAACCAACAGCATTGCAGCCATGCTGTTCCATATTCTTGGATGGTGCACAATAACTCTTTGTCAGTGCCTTCAGTGTCCCACTGGCAGGCCTTCCCGGAATAACTGCCCCGCTCGAAATTTTGACGTTTTGAAGTTGAAATTTTGAAAATTTGAAATTTTGAAATTTTGAAGGTGACTTGCTATTTACCCTTCCTGCCAGATTGCTAGATTAGATTAGATGTACTGTATTTTATCTTGGCTTTATTTTTAACTTTATGATGGTTTAATTCTATTTTAAGGGGTGAGTGGGTTAGAGGTGGGAGGTAGGAATTGTTTTTATCTGTTGTATTTTTAATCTGTTGTACACCGCCCCGATTGCCGAGCAGAGGGGCGTGTTATAAATAAAACTTATTATTATTATTATTATTATTATTATTATTATTATTATTATTATTATTATTATTCACTGGGATTGTAGAAACAGCCTCTGTGCATGATTCCCCTTTGCATAAGGAGACAAGAAGTAAGAGGCACATTAGGAAATACACCACTGGTTGCATAATATAGGTCAGCCATCATGGAACAATATGAGCGTATATTTACACTATACAATATAGGATCATGTGCTAGTTTCTATTACTGCTAATCTCCCCTTTACAAAAAAACACCACCCACAATTATTTTTTAAAATTAACAAAATAGCCCCGAATCCTTCACAATCGTTTGATTTGCTCCCAAAGTAATATTTAAAGGCAGCAAGTAAATGTTACATCTCACGGCAAAAACCAAACAACATTACAGGCCGTGACTTTACTTTTAAAAGGTTAAAAAGCCACAACCGTGACTTGTTGTAAAAGGTCACGTTATTTGTAGCATGCTCTTTGCAAGCTGAGTGATAGAGAAGATGTATGGAGGAGGTTGTGATGAGGTTGACTTGATGAAGATAGTACTAGAGATTAAAGTGTTGGTAAGGCCCCCGTTCTTTGATGATTGTGTTCTTTATTACTGATGAATGTGTGGGTACAATTTGCATTTGTGGTAGTCATGGCATCCTCAGTGAAGATGGAATTAACTGTATATAAATGCAGGAAGTTAAAATGAACAGAACCCCAACTGGTTCTTTTACATTTGTTAAGTTCCCCCCTTTTGAATCTTTTTGTCCAAGGTGTAATGTCCCAGTCCAATCCAAAGTTGTGGAAGCTGAGATGGGCAGGCAATGGGTAATCTCAACTAATGCATATCTGTCTGTCCCTGCAAAAATTGGCAGTAGCACTCCTTTGGTTGCACATTCACTTGTGCAAATGTTGCCATTCAAGGTCTGCATTGCACAATTAAGGTATAGCGCTTCTTGTTGTTGTTAACTTCCCTCAAGTCGATCTCGACTCATGGTGATCCTATGGATGAGACATCTCCAAGACCCTCTGTCCTCCACTGCTCTGCTGAATTCCTGCAAATCCATAAAACCTGTGACCTCCTTAATAAAGTCCATCTATCTGGCATGTAGCCTTCCTCTCTTCCTCCTTCCCCAGCATTATTGT